GCCATCGCCAGGCATCTTCTCGACACGGGTCATGAGGTGGACGTTGAAAAGTCGTTCAAAATTATCAATAAGCAAAATAGCTCAATTCTCCTTAAGTTTGCTGAAGCCATTTCCATCAAGCGCTTGAAACCTGATTTATGCGTCCAGAAAGAAGCGGTTATCAGTCTTTCTTTGCTCAGTCTGGTAACTGGATATTTTCATCTCTCTTTCATCCGAATGCAAAATGCTGAAAAGTTTCCATTGTGTTTGATTATTATTGTTCGGAATAGTGGTTAATATTGCATATTTATATATGTATATATTTTTAGTGTATGAGTATATTGATCGATTGATTTTTGTTTAAACTTAACTCTGTGCAAGTATGTTGAAATTGTTGTTGTAGATATATTTAATAATGAATGTCCTTGGCCTGTAAGCAGCTGACGAGAAGGCAACGAAATAAACAATGATGGTACCATTTTATCGTGCTAAAACTGTAGTTCTTGCTTTGTTCAAATAAATGAATATTGTTCCATACCATCTTACATCTACTTGTTCCACGATACATTTATGATATGATTTCCTTTACTGGCTGACTATTTTGTGCTTAAATGAATGGATTTATAACTGTATTGCCTGAATTAGAAGAATTTATTGAAACCACAAGTGTTCTGTATAACTAGTTTTGTTCTACGATATTCTTTAATCATTTCTATAAATACAATTAATGAATTAGAAAAATTTTTTCCCGATACGAATTTTAAACAAGCTTGAACTTAGTGTTTGACCATTGGCTGATATCACTCAAATAACTATTGGAAGGCAACAGTGAGTACTGGACAACTGTCTCGCCCTAGTTTGGGACTTACTGGTAGTACTCACCAATCAATGTTCGAATCCAGGACCTTAGTTGGTTTTCAATGATTATCCAATGGACACGAATCCGTGGTTAAACTTAAAATAACTTAAATCTGTACAAACACCAACAAGCGATTGTCTCAAAAATCTGGGAAAGACCACTAACCAATGCTCGACACTTTAAATTGTATGCATCAATTTGAGTGTGTCTGTGGGGGGAAGCAAATACATACAGGTCATACAGAAAGGCGACTGTCTACTGGCATGATGGAGTATTTGCCAAAGCGGTTGAAAACAAATGAAGTTAGGGTGCCAAAAAGTTTAATAACAATGAACCTTGTGGATTATTCACATAATACTGATGCACTGTCAAGTCATTCGCCGTTGTCAGCAGAGAGACAAAAAGGAAGATGCTTACAATTGCTGAGGAGGCTTGTGCAACTCGAGTTTATGAACCAGGCCTTTGTGTACAAACGGCAATGGCCGTCACCCTGAATCTACCATGGTTATATGTTTTACTTATTAGCTGTTATTATTATTATTACTGCTATTATTAATTTTGATATTATTAATTTCGCGATTCTTGGTACATTCAGGTTCTTTCTGTAATGACTAAGTGTTTGTCTAAGTGATATAATTGAACAGTAATTCATTTTAATATTTCATACTCCCTCTCCCCTGATCTATTTGAGCATGACCCCTGTGAACGTATTCACACTTGTCGATTTGTATGATTAATTTATCAGTGTAGTTTATTTGCTTATTAGTATTGTATCTCCAAATGCATTTCTGATAGTATACATATCGCTGCATGTAGAGTATTCAGCTGAGGAAGAGTTGTACCGAAATTTAACGAATTCATTATATCCTGCTTTATAAACCCTCTTGTTGCTTGTTGTTTGTTTTACACACTAACGAGCTTAATAATGGATTTTTCTCCTCTCCTCCTATTTAGACAAGTAAAATCCTGAGTCGCATCATCCTGGAGAGAATGAAAGACGCACTGGATGCAGAACTCCGACCAGAACAATCTGGATCCAGGAAAGGCAAATCATGTGCTGACCGAATTGCAGCTCTACGCATCATCATCACAGAACAAAGCATGGAATGGCAACAATCAAACCTCTACCTCAACTTCATAGAATTTGAGAATGCCTTCGACAGACAGCATTGACCGTGAAGTAATCTGAAAACTACTCGAGTACTACAGCGTACCCCAAATATTCATCAAACTTATTCAACAGCTGTACGACAACGGCACATGTCAGGTAATCCACAACGGAAAACTCAGCGAGCGAGGCGTTCGAAGTAAACACAGGAGTTAGACAAGGGTGCTTATTATCACCAATGAATGACAGTAGGAAAGGAGAAGACAGGGATATCCTGGACCGACCGACGTGAAGAACCTAGAAGACCTGGATTTCACGCGTGGATGATTTGTGTTTGATGTCACTGTCACAGATTCGAAGACTTACGAGCGAAAACCGACCGACAAACTGGTCGAAGAAGCAGCCGGCGAAGACAGGACTCCAGGAGAACATAGACAAGACGGAGGTTATGAAAATAACCAACCAACCAACCAACAACAATAACAGAAGCAACATCCAGCGCCAATCACCATCAATGAGAGGGATTTGAAAGAGGTTACTTCATTCACTTATCATCTAGGGAGCATTGTCTCAACTACAAGAAGTCGGAACGGACGAGGATGTCAAATCGAGCGAGAATCGGGGAGGTGAACGAGAAACACATTCATCAACCAACTGAAACCAATCTGGAAATCTTCGTCACTCAACTCAGCATCAACAACAAAATTCGGTCGGATTTTCATTACAACCAACGTCAAGTCAGTCAGTTCTTCTATACGGATCAGAAACTTGGCAGGCGGATCACAGAGAATATTTCCAACAGCCTGTTGCTGACCCTTATCAACACCTGTCTTCACTCTATACTGAAGATCAATCAGCTGGCCGGGCCAGAAACAATCACCAACAAGAAACTATGGGAACAAACAAACAAACAAAACAAGAACCATTCGCCAACCAAGAAATATTCAGGATAAAGTGGAGGTGGATGGATTGGACACTCGCTGAGGAGGCCGCCACTGGGTGACATCGCGCAAGCGTCAGGCCAGTGCTCGAGTGGAATCCGAAAAGGAAGCGGCGATTGGGACCCCGGTGCAAGGGTGACATGGAGGAGATCATGTGAAGAGGAGTTGGAACAGTTTGGATTAACATGGATGCAGGTGAAACGTACAGCAGTACAGAAGACAGAAGCAAATGGAGACGTGCAGTTGAAGCCTTTTGTTTCATTAGGAACCCAAGGGAACAATAATAATCATTATTATTCCTTAGGTTCCGAGTAGAACGCAAGGCTTCAACAGCATATCTCCATATCACCCCATTCTCTACAATCCTCTCCATGTGGCTGATGCACAGCTGTCCATAGTTTCTCATCTCCTCTTCTCTCAAAGTCTTCTCTATGTCACCATAGGAAGAGTGACGCTCAGCGAATCGTATTGCACTCGATTTCCACTCAGGTGACAGCCTGAAGTGTGATATTATTCCATTTATTTTTGACCAATAAGTTCGCAATTGATTCGTTCCACCATACAGTTTCTTAATGCTAATTTTTTAACACCTGTCATCTAATCTTCAGTGTTGTGTAAAGGAAGCCAATGATAAAAGTGTAGAGTCCAACTCGCTAAGTCTCTAAAGCATCAAGATAGACTGCTCCCCCCCCCCCGGCAAGATATGCCAACACATCAACAAAAACACATAAACATTTGCACGCCACATAAAATGAATTAAACAAAAACGTTTACAAAAACAAAAGATAATATTGACAGTTTTATTAGAAGACGGAGATTATCTGAAAAATGTGATGTATTGGCGCTATACATTTCGAACAATCTGATCCCTCACATATTTACTTGTCAAGTCAATATATATATATATATATATATATATATATATATGAAAAAGTTAAATTAAACAAAGTGACAAAAGAAAAGAATTAAGAATAATAACCGCAACGTTTGGTAATCGAATCAAATAAGGATTACCAAGGTAGATGGGTTAAGAGTTATAACAAACTGTTTTTGAATACACAGAGCGGGCTTAAGTTTATGAATTGCTAAAGCCTCAGCGTATTTCAATAAGCGCCTTTGACCGTTTTTATAAATGACCTTAAAGGCTGAGTTAACGTCAACATCAGTAGGATTTCGAGACAAAGAATGAATTCGATCATCCGTAGAACCTATTACGCAGCTCAACTTGTAATTGTGGAGAAAGCTAAAAATATGCTCTACTGCAAACGTCAAAAGTGCACAAGTGATTATATCACATCCCACAATATTTACCAGTTTTCGAGTGTGTGTGGACAAACATACATAGGGAGGCGTAATCGCGCCTTGCATGTGAGGGTGGGAGAGCATACTGCAAAATGGTTAAAAAAAAACAAATGAATTGTGAAAAGCCAATAGATGCAGGTGTCAGACTACCAACTTCGTCTATAACCAAACATCTAATCGAGATGAACTATAAGACTGATGTTAACTCAGCCTTTAAGGTCATCTATAAAAATGGTCAAGGTCACTTATTGAAATACGCTGAGGCTATTATTATTATTATTGTTCCCTTGGGTTCCTAGTGGAACATAGGGCTTCGCCTTGATTACTAGCTCGCTAGTTTTCTAGCCGGTCCCAAGCCCGGATAAAAATGGAGGGTTGGAGCGTGATGCTGGCAACTCCACCTCCAAAAATTTAACCAAATTACCACAGAAACTTCAACGCACAAATATATTAAGAATTCTAAAAATATAAACGCTGAGGCTATAGCTATTCATAAACTTAAGCCCCTCTGTGTATTCAAAAACAGTTTGTTATAACTCTTAACCCACCTGCCTTGGTAATCCTTATTTGATTGGATTACCAAACGTTGTGTTAATCATTCTTAAATCTTTCTTCATGTCACTTTGTTTAATTTAACTTTTTCATGTATATATTGACTTGACAAGTAAATATGTGAGGGATCAGATTGTTCGAAATGTATAGAGCAAATACATCACATTTTTCAGATAATCTCCGTCTTCTAATAACGCTATCAAAATTTGCAAAAGGGACTAATTATTGTTTTAAAAATACAATATATATCAGAACTTACTTTTGACACTGATCGATAAATTAAGACATACAGAGTAACCACACAAATAATACACAGAATATAACTACATGTTTGAAATTTTTGTACAATTTTATAGAGGACATCTTCAATCATTGTATGATTCAACCTGGTTATCTCTGTACACTCATATTTCTCACCACCACCACCAATTGGAATTGGATTAGATAAATCGATTGAAATGTTTGAATAAGATGTCAATAGGTATAAAGTAGTCATTGTTGTGGTACTATTATTATTATTATTATTATTATTATTATTATTACTGTTCTGCATAAATGTTATATTCCCGCCATCATCAACATTATTATTGCTATTATCATTCTTATAATCATGGACAGCATCTTGTTCCGGTCTACTCCTCTCCACGCGAACAGTAAACGTTGAACTAAACCCCAACAGTAAGCATATACAAATTAAACTGAATATAACGCGTTTAGCGCATTCTCTTGTCAGGATATTCTTGAATGGATGACACAAACAGAAATATCTATCAAAGGCTATACAACTAATTAATAAACTACTAAACGGGATAAATGAATTATTTATAAAGTAATAAAATTTACACAGAAATGTTGAATCAATATTCCATTCAAGATATTCAATAATCATTGTACCAGGGATTAGGGTAACACAGGCTAGAAAATCTGAGATAGCTAACACTAGGATGAATAGTGTAGCTGTTAACCGGTCATGTTTCAGAGCATAGACAATTATGACTAGAATATTACCAAGGATACCAATGAAACAAATAATTCCAAGCATAAATAAGACAGTTGGTATTTGACTGGATAAATTTGCTGTCATAAGAGACATGAGTTTAGCGTGTCTGTTTTGTGGTGATAGACGTGTTTGTAGATGTATATATATGTGTAGGCAGGTATGTAGATTTGAATATGGCGCCGTGTTTTCAGTTCTATAAAAAACAGATTCTTGACAGGAAACACGCTGAAAACTGCATAATCCTCTTCGTTAGCATCCTTTATACTGATTAGAAATCTAAAATAAGAAAGCAATAATAATATTAATAAGACATATGAACCTTGTGTCAACTGTATACACAAACTAGAAAATCAAGTGGTTATATATAGTGGTGATTTTTATGTACATTACTGTCGGTGGAGAAGCAACGTCTTCTGGTTGGTTGTTTTCTTGCTCAAGGTTATTCTATACTGCTTGTGATCGTTTCTTAGAAAGTTGAGCCATTTATCTACGAATCGTATTTGCATACACGTTAAGTCTGCTGTGATTGGTTAGTGAGTTATTCAAGGTCAAGCTTTGTTATTATTTTTTTGTTTTTCTCGCATGACCCCGATTCGGGACGTAAACATTGATGCAAATTGTTGTCTACAATTTTGGCTTGCAGACACAGTCAACACATTTTAATTAAATTAGAGATGAACTGTTTTGAGTCGGCTATGTAAGGTCATAGAAGATTTGTTAACAAAGGACAGGAAGGGTAGTAGCAAGATATTAGTATTACTATTTCCTTTAATTCCTAGAGGAAGATAGGGCTTCAGGCACGTTCGGTTCTTTGACAACGTTTTCACCTGGCTCCAAGTTTGCCTACAGACTTTCATCTCCTCTTCACATCACCTCCTCCAAGTTACCGTTGCACTGACGACCAACTCGCCGTTTCCTTTTCAGGTTCCACTCAAGCAATGGCTTGTCTAGTGATGTCACTCACTTGGTGGTTTGTTTTCTCAGAGTATGGCTTCCAATTCACCTCCATTTCTTCCTGCCTATTTGTCTCACAATCGGTTCCCGATGGGTTGGTTCGCTCTCAGAGATACCATTCTGTTGCTGATCTTTTCTGGACATCTGATCTCGAGTACTGAGCGAAGGCAGCTGTTGATGAACGTGTGTAGTTTGTTTGAGGTAATCTTTATGTCACGTCAAGCATCTGATCCGTATAGTGAGTAGCACTGACTTCACAATGGAGTTGGAAATCCGGATCTTATTTTTCATGCTAAGGGCTTCGAAAGATTTCTTATGTTTCCTGTTGTGGATTACGTGGTATGCAGGATTGTCGTACAACTATTGGATAAGATGTATATTTGTCGGTGGCACCTCTTAGTAGTGAAGACGTTGCCAGATCACCTCTCGAACGACGCTGCACTATCGAATGCCTTTTCAAAGTCGATGAATTTGAGATATAGAGAGGTGACTGCCATTCCAAGCCCTGTTCAATGATGATCCGTAGTGCGGCGATTTGATCAATGCATGACTTGTATTGGTCAAGTTAAGTTAATAATGGTAATAATCAATCGTTTATCTGCAAGAATTTGATTGGTTACAGGTTAAGTCATGGATTGACTACAATTACAGAACTATTCGAGAACCTGGAAGTACTGAAAAGCTGATGTTAACTGACGACTGGCTGTATACAAGAATTTGCCTAGAATTCCGGTGAGATGTTGTAACCAGATGACTGCACCAACTCAGATAAGAGATCGGTTACTTGCCAGCCATATTGACTATTGATTGTGCTATGTGTATGTATTGCAGGAGTTGCAGTTCATAGGCAATTGTATTACGTTTCAGTGGCTGAGTGGTCTGTGAACTTGACTTTTAACTGGAAGGTTCTGGGTTTGAACCCTTTGTTGGGTGCATACTGATGAAGAGTCTAAAACCAGGCTGACGAAGCAGCTGTTCAGTACTCCCAGATGGTTTTTCAATGGTTCTCTAACCGATGTCAGCTCATGATGATCAAATCCCCGCAAACTAACACTTGAATATTAACCTGATGCTCACTAGTGACTAGCCCTATTCAGGTAGGTAGTTAGTTACACGGTTTCTACTGAGAAGCCATAACCAGTGGGGTACAACAAGTTGGGCGTGAGGACAAGTACTCTCCAGAGATGACACTGCCTGGTGCCAGCCACGCTATATCGTGAATTAGCAGGAGCTGGAATTCAAGGGGTTGCCATCGGATCGGCTCCCGCTGGCTCAATGGCCCACGAGGTCGCTCATCTTGTAACCGGAAGGTCCTGTATTCGAACCCCGTGGTGTGGGTGAGTACTTTTGAACAGTTTTAAACTAGACTGACAAAACTGCTGTCTGGCAGTACTCCAAGCTGGTTTCCCAGCGGTTCTATAACTGACTTCAACTCGTTATTAAAGCTCAAAGTATCCATGTAAAAGTGAAATATTCAGAACAATATTGTGAGGTACCTCTACCTAGTTAAATATGTGATGATGCAACTAGGTAGGAGTGAAAGAAAAGTTAGCATTTACATTTAGTTAAAGAAATTTTCATAAAATAACCTAAATTCTAAGAGTGAAGTTATCAACGTACAAAGAGATTCGCTACACCTAACTTCTCAATACACAAATTAGGTTTTAACCGCTTGATCGTAATGGCCTTTGAGAACTTCAGGAGACGATTTCACTTTTTCTGTTTATTTACTATTATTATTGTTATCTTGAAGGAATTTAAGATGTCTACATGATATTCAGAATCAGTCAGATATGTCACATGACTGCACTGCTCAAAAATTAACTTCTTAACTGAAAACTTTGCAATATGCTGCTTCTATCTGTTCTTCCTGTACATCTACCTTGTCAACCACACGTTGTTTGATATACACGCTAAAGTATGTTACATAACAGCAGGAAATCTCCTAGTCAGTGATCACTTAGTCACAATATCACCATTAAAGGCTATGAGCAGCTTGAAAATCCACCATTGAGTCAAATGAAAAAGAGAAGACACGTTGAGTGAAGAGACTCTTTTCGTCAGCGAATTCATTCACATAGCTGTACAATCGCACTTATATACAATTATCTTTTGCCTGTCTATGTGTGTACATGAGGTTTGTCAAGTTTAGATAATTGATAAGATAATAAAAGAATGATCTAATATAGAAACAAGGTTAATCAGACAGCAACTAAAGTAAGTTAGATTACGTAATATGTTTGACTAAAATGTTTCAAATTAGGTCAGGTTAGCAACAGAGGTGATTACAGGTAGAGACTAAGCACAGGTAGGATAGAGAATAGTGCCATTTAAATTAGAACTGAAATTGAGCAAATAAGTTGGATGACGTAACACTAAATGACTAGAAATTCACCGTTGGTCAAGCCAATAACAGTGGTAGATAGGTGTAGAAATGAAATCGGGTGGGGGTAGAGAACATGAAAGTTAAAAATGTAAAATATTACACTTGAGAAGGCAAAATAATACTAATGAAGAGGCAGACAAAAAAGAGATTAGACAGAATTTACTTGTCAGGTAATAATACAGATTACGCCCATTATAAGTGTAGTAATTGAACGAAGGCTATGATCCATTTGTGTGATTTTCTAATGCCTACCACAATAATTTATAACCATCAATCTCCTGTCGGTACTTTTGTCCCATTTCATCGAGATACTTCACTTGTATTGTACACATATAACTGCAGTAATTCCTGAAACTTATACTTTTGGTTCATATAGATTCCAAATAGGTGTCGGTGATTTGACGGTGGAATACTCTCCAACCATGTATCTTGTGGTCAGGTGTTCTATTTTTGGTCGACACACTGTTAAACTTCACTTGGATTTCAGTAAACCTGATAGACATAGACGGTTGAGTGTGAGACTATCAAAAATTCAAATGAACAGAAGTAAGCAGTTATAGGGTAACAAAACAAGGAACAGTATGTGAGCATGTATTCTGTCTTATCTGTCTTTCAGACACCGTACAGATCAATACCACTTCAAAACAAGTGCATAGTTTGAGATTGCGGCCTATGGCTGACGACACATACACACACACACATGAGTCCATGTCTACTTGCTATTAGAGGAGTCTGACTGCACTTCCAGTTTCACGGCATTGTCGCCATACTCAGACAAACCTCTCTAAGTGCGATCAGTTTAATTGTCATCCTTTCTTCCTCTAATGTCAATTGAATGACCTGTGAGTGTGCTGTCTGAATATTGATTAGTGAATTCCCAGTAAAATGGTTGGCTTAGTCATGAGTAGCCAAGGAACCAAATATATGTTGAGACGTGGTGAACACAGGGTATTGCATTCAGCTACTATAATCATTAAGGAATCAAAAATGCTTACATTCCAACACAGTTTCTGTCTTCTCTAAGGCATGACCATTATATACAAATGAAAATAGCTTATAGAAGTGCTTTATAGCGTTATATTAAAAATAAAGCCGGAGCTAAAGGTCGTTCACAGATTACTATATGAGCTTTGTAATTAATAGTGTTCTCTGAACTGGTTGGTTTAGTTGAGGAGCTTTTGTCGTCCACCCTATGGATAACATCCTCACTCAGCGCAATATTTAGCACAAAGTGAAACGATTTCAATTTTTTCCATGAGTGATAGAATTGCGTCTCCTGGTAACCATCTTTACATATGTATTGTCCATTTTCTATTGACTTGAATTTTAAACTTTCTCGTCACATGATTTACTTTTTATTAGTTAGTATGGCGTCGGTAGCACAGTGGTTAGGACTCTCGCCGACCATGAACATGGTCCGGTGTTCGAGCCCACGCCGACGCACACCTGATATCTATGGTCGGCCTGCGAATTTTGGGCTACCGATATCCACGCTGAAAATTCCATACTTGTACCAAAAATACAGTGTGGAATCAAGCTGTAATCAAAAATAAAAAAATAAAAAAAATATTTCGTCTATATTAATTTGTTTATTAATTGCATTTTAGTTTGACTACCAGGCTTCTACGAATTCCCTGACTGCACTTTTGGTGTTTCTGCTGTCTAAGAGTTCGACATTATCCCAATCAAATTGATGTCCATAATTGTCTATATGCATTGATATGAAAGAATATGGCTATCATGTCTTTTTACGGCTGATGTGTCTTCCTGGATTCTGATTCGAAGGGGATGACCATTCCGACCACCGATGTAATGCTTGTTACAGTTCATACAATTTATTTTGTAAATGGTAATAATTTTATCTCCTTTTTCTGTTGGTCTGATCTTTCGTTTTGGATAATATTGAATTAAGTGATTTGACTGGCTAGCTTGTGTA